TGGGAGTTGTAGTCCAACAACATATGAGGACCCACAGATTGAGAACTGCTGATTTAAATAATGGTAACCCCCACCCACCAAACCATATAAGCTATGCCGGCTGCATTTTGCAATTAAATCTAAACAGAGGAATGTTGTTTGTTTATACTGTTTGTTTGAACTTTAATAAATCTTATACTTCCCAAAGTATGCCTATTTTATAGGACCAGTCTTGTTCTCAGGACTGAGAAACTTGTAATACCTCCCATTTATCTCATGGGGAGAAAGGTGGCAATAAATCAGTCTCATTCAAAATTTTACATAACTGCCCTGTTCAAGCCAGGTTGTTGAACCTTTGGGGCACTAAGAAAAGCATGGAGAATACTGATCTTGAAGCAGCTGTTGACCAATGGGTAACAAGCTTCAGATATCAGAGTAAATAGACAGGCTTTGCAAGGGCAGGGAATACCCTGGCAGAAGTTAACATGCTGATCTTAAAAGGTCTGCAGTGCAATTGACCCCTTGTATTCCAAAGCATAGCTTGATGACTGTCAGAGCCTGGTCTCTCAAGCAAAGCTGCAGGGAATTCTACAGAGTGGTGTTCTTGCTTAGGGTTGTGCAGTGTGACACCACAGATGGCTTTAAACTGCATCCTGTCTTCTCCATCAGGTATCCAAGGTGAGTGAATAGGTTTAGGTATTCAATGAGTTGATTCAGAGCTCTGAGCTTGCAGCTCCCAGATATAACAGGAATTCTTCACAGAGAAGAATTCCTCTCTCTCAGATTTTAGGTGTCATGCATTCCTGGCTTAAGGTCCTTATCACAAGCCACCACTAGGGAGATCATGGGGCCAGATCACACCTTAGCTCTCAATTATCTAATTACAAACTTACAAACAATTAGAAAAGTCATTTCAGAGATGCTATATTTGTTTACAATTCCAAGAATCACCAGTTTCACTTAAAAAAAAATCTTTTAAGGGTAGTTATTTCAACATACTTACCACATAAATCACAGTCACAGTTCCATAGGTACCTTTTTCCCGAACTAGAGTGAGAGGCACAGATTCATTCCTACCTTTGGGCTCACTAAGTGTGATTAAGGCAGGCTAAAATGGGAGGGAGGGAGGGAGGGAGAAAGGGGACAGAGGAGAAACAGACAATCAGATACTGATAAAATATCCCAACTGCAGAATGTACAAAGGACTGTTACCATAGAAATGCAAACTCCCAGAAACAAGTTAATCCAATTTGTGAAGTGGTCAACTGATAGCATTTCATTTCCCAGCAACCAAAGGCATGGAAGACAACAGAGATAAATATTTTGTTTTGAACGAATATGGAAATGTGTATCCTCAATTTAAACATTTTGGCCACTACAAGCCAATTAAAAGGCTTTTGTGTTACATTATTTATATTGCTTTTTGAACTTATTAAAACAGATGTTCAGCTAATCTAGTCACATTAAAACAACAGCTGAAAGTTTTGCTAAAGAATTTTACTGAAAGCAGCAGCAAATTTGACATCCAGATTTCAAGAGATAAGGGCAAGCAGATTTCCAAAATCTTGTCTTTTAAAAATTATTATACAGATAATCAGCCAAACTCGCACTCTCAATTTTTAACTCAGTCTTTATTTCTCTTCACCTCCAAACAATGGGCACAACAGGTAAATTTGCCCTGTAAGGTCAGTTGCTGCTGCTGCTGTTGTTGTTATTATCATACCTATAGACTAGCTGAGGATGTGTCAGTATGGCAGACTGTGTCTTCAAATTATCTGCCTCCCTTCTCTGTTTGTCTTTGCTATCTTACTTGCCTTGATAAAATAACTTAAAAAAACAAAAAACTCACCCACAATTATTTCACTGATTAGGATGCTCACCGAGAACATTTTAACAATAATCTTAGTGCTTTCTTCCAAGTAGTAGTACAACACGCTATTCTTCATTTGACTAAACCTTAATTGATAAATGGCCCCTGAAAGGACTGCACAACTTCTTTTGTCCTATTACCATTTCCTCTGAAGTCAATACTTGATCACTTTCTTCAGCTTATTCAGGAATGCATTAGGCTCCCTGATCTCCTACCCAAGTGTCAAACTCCATGGTTGCCACTGGCTCATCCATAATGTCACAGTCTATGAGGTCATAATGAGCCCAACAAGCCAGAGTCCACACACAGGCTGCTTTGACACAACTCTACAACCTGCTCAGTTAAGTAGCAAAAGTAACGTCTTCACACCAAGGGCTTTTAAATGTGCTGATCACTTGAGCAGTCTCAAAGCCTTTCATTGGATGGATTTCTTGAACCGATTATGATGAGGCAGAATGGGGTTAAGGTAAAGGAACCACACATGAAAGAAAGTAGTTTATCTAAAGGAACCTATGGCATTTATGCCTGTGGAGAGAGCTGAACTCTCACTCATTAACCGCTATGTCACAGGTGACCAGGAAGATGTCCATTTTCCCACTGACGTCTATATTGTTCATCTGATAAATATCCCCATTATTCAATTTCAAATAACAAAAGGTACAGAAGATGAAAACATACCATATCAAAAGAAATGATTCCAAAGGCATTGTCATTTGATAAAATAGTTACAGATACAGCTCTGGGCAACCCAAGCTTTACTCCTGGAGGTGGATTCTAGAACAAACAAGGCACACAATATGGAAAATTAAAACGGTGCACTGTAAACGGACCAGTCAATCTATACATGGTGGAAGGAGGTTTCAGTAAGGCCCTGTATTCAATAAAGTGTTTATTTTCAGGGTAAAGGAATTTCTCTTTAATGACACATTCCAAGGAAAGGTATTCAAGTCAACTGAATGCTCCAAAAGCACTAACTTTTCATGGGATACAAATTCTATAGACTTAGTCTGGTTAAACAACAAAGTGTTTGACACAAACTTCGGAGATCATTAATCATAGCTTGACAATATTAATGATACCATAGCAATAAGGAGCTACATGAGAAGCATCTGTTCCCCACCCTCACCCAAGAATCTGGAGTTTGGGGATCTTTTTATGTCCATTGGTGATGATCTTGAACCAGAATAAAGCAAAGGAACACTGACATTATGAAAAATCTTTGTATAACATGTTCACTGTACAGTATTCATAAATCACAGGGACTTGCTATTTGTAATGCACAGCGGACAGGGGAGAGAAGACAAATGAGAAAACAATGAGGATTGCTTCCATGTTTGAAATATAGCGGAAGCTGTCTCAGTGACCTGTCTTCATTGAAAATGCAAATCCGAACAACAACAGGGAAAAGGGGGGGGGGAGACAAGAAGGAAGAAATATTCTAAAACTGACCAAGATGATCCTCTTAGCAACGTCATCTACCTCAAAGGAGAGGAGCACACAGAAAGGTAGATTTTGCAATGGCTGCATTATTGTAGAACATTATTATGGAAGACTAACAAATTTATTATAGTATAAAGCTCACTAAACTTTTAAAACAATGGATTAGACACACTAGCCAGGAAGTCAAACAATAACAAGGGAACAAAATCAGCTCCCACCACCACTGCCTCAGGGTGATACAGTTGTCTCCTATAACAGCAGCCTGGCACAGTGAAATGCTTCTGGGCAAGGACAGGCACCCTGTGCAAGGCCAAAATTTGGTGCGCTTCCGCCTCTTGCCTTCCATTCTGCTCAATTCACTATGTCATAGCTGCAATGCCCTGCAGCGCCCCCTAGGCTCGGCACCCAGTGCGGTGGAACTGGTCTCACTGCCCTAAACTCGCCTCTGGCAATGAGTTAAATGGTAGGAAAAAATTCACCTGCTTAATGATTTCTTACCATTAGCCTTTCTCCCAAATTCTTATTTTGCAGCATATTACTTTGTCAGCTTTCTTCAGTAACCTTGCCTGTGGGTTTCTTGTCTATCCATTTCATACTTCCCAAGACCTCTTCCCACTTAGGCCCTCAGCCTGCCCCACACAGCTCCTCCTACCTGCTCCCCCAGGATCTGCCTGAAGTTTTAAACCCACCCAGGAAAACAACTTTTTATTTGCTTCTCAACAAGTACATTCCACTACTTAAAAATTCCCTAAGCCATTTGTGAACAGTCCGTGACATCACACCATCTCAGCCAGTTTGAGATTTCACCACCATAAGCACAATATAACTCAATGAATTTAGCAGACTCAGCATACAATATTTTAATTGCAACTATAAACTATAGCAGAAGGCCCTGTCTTGCTCTCAGAGTTTATACTTCATGTTTTAATTTAGAAGGACATTTCTGCGATTTTAAGCTGCTATACAATATATGCTTCTATACTGAAATTATTTGCTTAGAAGAGCCCGGGAACATCTCCTAGAGAACATGGCTGGAAATATTGTGAATGTTCAGAGGCTCACCCATAAAATGCCAATCATCAATAATAAATGAAAGACATTATTACAAGTTCAAACACAAAAATATCAAATAACCATTTCACTTACTAAAATAATGAATGACTCTTTTAAAAGGAGGACCAGACTACAAGGGAAGGAGAACTGTGTCTAGTCAGTAGTGGCTGATAAGTTTACAGATGGCAAGTATCTGAAAACTAACTTTTAAACAGCTCTACTTGCTGATACATTTCATGAAAATCACAACAATATTCAAAAATAATTCCAGGAGTCATTATGTATATGTTTTAGATTATTTATTTACATTTTAATGGATCCTGCCCCTTCACTAAAGCCTGTATTTTCAGATGTGAATCTTGTTGCCTTGTTCCCCAACTCTCTATATGGATGTATTTCCTTCTTCCTTTCACTTCAAAACCTAACCAAAGTTTTAAAACACTGAAGCATACCTAAAATGTTGAAGAACCTTCAATCAGTCTTTGTTATCCAGGAGCCCTTAAACTGTTTTGGACTACAACTCCCATCAGGAACTGTCTGGCACTAAGAGTTGTAGTTCAAAACACCTGGAGGGCCTCCGGATGGTGATGGCTGGCCTAGACCAACAACATGGAAAGGAGCAGCTCTTCTTCCACTAAGACCACACATGTACCTCAGCTTAGTCAGAAAAATTAGTGCCTACCTGTAATGTCAAATAAAATATGAATGTCTCATCAGCCTCCGGAAGGTCATCGTCACACACAGAAATGTACACAGTTCGGTTTGTTTCTGCCTCAGATATGTATGCTGCTGCGTAGGTGTCAAAAAAGTCTCCTGTATTTTCACCGTGAATCTGCAATTTGCACACAACAGAAACAATTAAATACTTCTGCTCCAATGCATATCCTGTGCCATTATTAAAACACGCAACTTTATTGCTGCAATAGTACATTTCCCATATAAGATTGCAAGAAGTGCCTGCTGGATCAAGCCAATGGCCCATCTAGTCTGAAGCCAACCAGATGCCTATGGGAAGCCTGCCAACAGAACCTGACTGCAGCAGAAGTCTCCCCACCTGTAGTTCTCAGCAATTAGCATTCAGAGGTATACTGCCTCCAGCTGTGGGGTAGAACATACGGTGTTTGTGCTGCTCCTCAATCTAGTAAAGAACTAATTTTCTCCCCGGTTTTCCAAGAACAAATGGATATGCCCACTCCATCCCAAAACACTCATCTGGTTTGCTTGTTTGTTTGTTTTCATTGTAGCTAATGCTCAGTGTATAACTTTGATATAACAAAAAAGCAGATTACCAACATTTCTTACCGCTACAATTGCTGTAACATTCACTGGTTCCCCTGTTCGTTCAATAACTAGACGTATAACTGTGGTAGATGTTTCATTAACAATAAATTCTGTTTGTCCGGTGAACTTTACTTCTGTTTCTCCAGAGATGAAACTGGTGGAAAGTGCTAAAAGGAATGTAACTAGTGAACAGGCAGAGGGCATCCCTGAAAAGAAAGGACAGAAACACAGATGTAGATATGATAAGTGTTTTTACATCATGCTTCAACAAGGGAAAACTAACAGGCTACTGAAGTCATATTTGTGCTTCCGTTCTGGCCAGTTTCCCCGGACATCTCTGAACTTGACAGCAACTACTGAGATTTCCTGACTAAAACATATCCTGAGGTGTGCTGGACATTTGAGCACTTCTGGTGCAGTTCTTTTAAAAACAGAGCATTACAAAGGAGCTTTGCAAAAGCTTGCAGTTCTGACTGAGAAACGTCAGGGTTCTACCCAACACCAAAAAAGGCAAAAGAAAAGCCAATGTCAATTTATGGGCTTAGTTCCTTGAAAACAGCTTGCCCTCTGTGGGTGTCCACTCACAGCCACAAAGGCTGTTTACACACTCCCATTACTGTGACCCTAACTGCTGTTTGGGGAAGCAGTGTATACACAGTAGTTAGCCACAATCCATATCTTTCTTGCTATTTATTATGAAATATTGTTGTTTGACGCATTTCTCCTTAAGCCACCCTCAATTTGAACTGAGGAAAAGAACCACCTAGCTGCACTTAAGCTGGTAATGTGTACACAGCCAAAGTCTCTCTGGGATGACAATGAGAAGTCCGCACTCTTGACTGCATGTTCCACTAGCATACTAGAAATTCTGCAGAGTAAAATGCTACAAATCCACAACAGCAAGAATCTAAACCAATTGTTGCAGTTTTTTTATATACACACAGGTTACAATTAAGCCACTAACAGCACTGTCCTATGTATATCTACACAAAAAGAAGTCCTACTGAGTGAGCATAGTATGCAGCCTAAGCCTGGAATCCAATGCACACATAGCAAGGAGCTAAGGTGTATCGAAATGCTCCAAATAAGCAAGAAAATAAAATTTATCAGTGGTAGACCTAAGCCCTACTTGGGCACTGTCCTTCAAACAACTGCATGAGGGGGAGAGAAGGGCTGCATCTACTGACCTGATCCCCACAACACACACACTATCACTTCCCCAACACCCATGCATTTAGAGGGCATATTCATAGCAGAGTCCCTTTTACCTTACCCTGTGTTAGATAGGTAGCCTCCCCTGGTGATGTCCCTAACATGTAAAAGGGACAGTAGGGGATGGGTGGATGGATATGCTGCCCATCTGGCTGGTTTGCCCCAGCCACTCAGGGCAACTCCCAGCAAAATATTAAAAACACAATAAAACATCAACCATTAAAAACATCCCTGAACAGGGCTGCCTTCAGGTGACTTCTAAAAATCATATAGTTGTTTATCAGTTTGACATGTGATGGGAGGGTGTTCCACAGGGTGGGTGCCACTACTGAGAAGGCCCTCTGCCTGGTTCCCTGTAACTTCACTTCTCACAGTGGGGAAATTGCCAGAAGGCCCTTGGAGCTGAACCTCAGTGTCCGGGCTGAGAGATGTAAGTGGAGACACTCCTTCATATTTCACCAAAAAAACTATAATGGAGAGTGCATGGTGATCTGGGGGGGGGGCTCACAGTGGTGGTGTGGGAAGTAAATAAATATCTGGGAGTATACTTCTAATCTCTATTTGTGAAACACTGGTAAGCAACACAGTCTAAGATGCAATGCTAGACCAACTGGTCACATCAACCTAGTTGTTTCTATGACTCCTCAAGAGGGTGTGATGCTTTAGAATTGATGCTCATTAGTACTCAACAATTTTAGAATGCAATATTTTGAGGAGATGAATCAGAATAACTTAGAAAGCAAATAACAGGATTAAAAGGGGGAGGGGAAATCAAAACAATCCTGATAGTTTTGCTGGAACTGAAATCCTCAGTACATCGTTTTAATGGGTATTAATAAATGTAGCTTATTTCTAACTTGCCAAGTGATTTCCATATTGGTTCTGCTCCCAGAGCACAAATGTTTTACCAAGTGTACAACTTCAACATGAACATCTTTGCGTACGTTTTGTAAACTCTGAACCAACCTCTCGCTTTACAAATACAGGCGTGATCCATTATGAACTAAGGGTGCTGTTGACCTTTTAACTATGGCAGTTACCTTGGTATAGACTAAGCAAGCATCTTCCCACGGTGTGTGCCTCAAGTAAATAATCCCGAAAATATGATCCTTACGGAGCAAGGTAACAGCGTTTAGAGTTACTTGAATTCTATTACCTCTGCTAAGGGGCATTCTGAAACTATAAAGTTACTCCTGTGGAACAAGAGAAGTCTCATAATCATATCATCAATTATTCACCTAGCAAGAATTCTTCCTTATTACATCTATTTGTACAATAAATTGCTTTTACAAAAAAAGTATATTAAAACAACCTTTCAAACAATTGCCTGACAAAATCATTTCAGCCAGGGATGTTTTTAAAAATAACATTTGGACAAACAGAAAAATGTCTTGCAAGTGTCACCCAATATCATAAAATAGTTAAGGATATAAATTAGTTCATATACACAATTCTGTTCTTTGAAATGGAAATAATAACTCTCTCCATTTTTACATGCACTGTTTCCCTTCAAATGAACTGAGAACAGATATTAAAATAAAAATTATCTTGCAACAACTTTTCTCATGGAGGATGTAAAACAATGCTTCTAATTTTGCAGCTGAGTCCCTCAGTGGGACTTATTTCAGTCTGAGCATGAAATACATTTCTTAGAATTTTTTTATGTCTCCTTTGGCAGAAAACAGGTATAGTGTTTTATTCTTACCGTCCCCCTGCACCCAGCATGTCACATATTCCAAAGAGAAACTCTCTGAATTTTTTTTTTTTTTAAGGTTCTGAGAGTAACACTGGTTCAGATTAAGCTTTGATTTCGTCATTAATGGCATATTAAATACACAGAATTTCAATTTGATTTTAATAGTAGCTGTCCCCTGGAACAGAATGTTCAATGCTGTCACTGTTATTAACAATTAGGTTGCACTATTCAATCCAAAGAATAGATTTAGTTGATTTCCCAAACAATTCACAATTTGTGTATGTCATTTATGAAAGAGAACGTATCGACTCATTCAGCGTTCACTAAAGGACAAACTACGAAAGTGTTGCTTGAGGAAGAAGAAGGATAGATTCATAAGATTTAGAACTCTCTGTTGCACCCAGTAATATCACGATTAACTCACCCCAGCAGAAAATTACTATGATGAATGATGAAAATTGTTTCTGCAATTATGGACTGGAACTAGTGCAATGCTCTTCAGAAATAATGTACATTGTGCAAGTCCCATGTCTATCACTCAACATTCCATCATGCTCTAAAGCAGGACTGGAGAAAGAGTGGCTCTCCAGCTGTTACTGGCCTACAACTCCCAACATCCCAGCTAACTGGCTATGCTAGCAGGGGTTGATCAGAATTGGGTCAAACACCATCTGAAGGACTAAAGGCACCCACCTCTGCTCTAAGGTTTGACACTGCCCTGACTCTGACGGCACCTTTTTACTTTTGCTTATATAAGTGAATGGTTATGATGCAAAGTAGGGTCTCGCACAGTGGAAATAAAAACCAACCTGTTGCACACAGAGACCCAACAGGGTAGAACTATGCTCCTCATTCCCCTTTTGAAGAGAATGCATCTCTACAGCTGTGGAGGTTTTTTGTTTTTTCAAAGTTTCTCTCTCCCACTATATATATATATAGAGAGAGAGAGAACCAATTTTTGGAATGGACAAAGGAAGAAGGAGATTCCCCCCACCCCAATTCTTATCCCCTTAGGATAATCAACCACCTTAGAATGAAGAGCCTGTGGCCCTCCAGATTTGAAACTGCGAAAGAAGTGGGGGGAGGGCAGAGGCAGCGGCAGCGGCTGCAGCGAAGTGTAAAGGGAAATACTTCATTTGCAGACTGGATTGAAGTAGTAGTAGTAGTAGTAGTAATAGTAGTAGTAGTAGTAGTAGTAGTAGTAATGTGATTTATTACCTGCCTTTCATTCCCAAGTCCCAGGACGGATCATAACAATTTGAAATACAGTACATTAAAACAGTTTTTTAAAAATACGAGCACATGAAGTCAAAAAGCCTGCAAAAGAAGAGGGATTTGCAGCCATTGCTGGTCAGAAGTGTACAGTGGTACCTCAGGTTAAGTACTTAATTCGTTCCAGAGGTCCGTTCTTAACCTGAAACTGTTCTTAACCTGAAGCACTACTTTAGCTAATGGGGCCTCCTGCTGCTGCCGCGCCGCCAGAGCACGATTTCCGTTCTCATCCTGAAGCAAAGTTCTTAACCCGAGGCAATATTTCTGGGTTAGCAGAGTCTGTAACCTGAAGCGTATGTAACCCGAGGTACCACTGTATAGGAAAATGCTTCCTTTCCCCTATGCAGGTGATTGACAGGGGGTGCACCACCCACCTGTCAAAGTAGTTCACTGGAGTTGGGAGATGTCAGGATCCAGGCCACCAGCCAGATCCAGTCCCCTTCCGTGATTTAAGTAACTGTACTGATCCCCTAGCCACCCTAGGAAGCTTTGGGTTGATGGGCTGAACATATATAACATAA